AATGCTCATAAAACGATACAATAGTCAAAAGTCACAATGTGATCACATGGCAGAAATCTTTAGAGAATGGTATAATGGGTGAGCATGATGAAGGGCAAATACTATCCTGACAGAAGACTCTAGCGCACAGAGAGGACGTGAAAAATTCGCTGAACATATTTCACTAATAAATCCAGTAAAACCGAAAGTTGGGCGAGTTGGTGATAGTTCATGGTTACAAATAAGCAGCGCACGACGTTTTACAAAAGAGAGACGATAGGACACCGCTGCAGCGGTGTCCCTATCGTCTCTTTTGTAAAACGTCGTGCGCTGCTTATTTGTAACCATATTCACTAAATCAGATGAGACAACAATGACAAAAATGTACGCCAGCCAACAACGGAATCAAGTATGAAATCTTCACCTCGAAACCTTTTTTTTTCTGCTCCATAGACCTGACATGAAATCAGGACTTCTGCATCACTATTTGTCTCTCTACGCACTTTATCATCAATTTTCTAGAACACCGCATTCACCAATAGGTACATATAACACCTTGGTTTGGCCACCAACCCATACTGTGATAACAGAGGCGCATTATAATCAGTCGAATATGTTTCCTTAGATTGTCAAGTCCACAGAAAATAAGGATTGTTTCCAAAGTAGAATAGGCTCAGCTTCCCATGAACTGCAAATTTCGGAAAGTACTTAAACCGGCTCCTCCTTATCAGCATCATCACATTTTAAAATTCCTGTTCAGATTTCTAGAAGACATTAACCTAACTCATAAATTATAATGTAGCCTACATCATCATTATCATGCGGAGATATGATGATCACAAAATTTTTTTCTTTTTTCCTCTCTTTTTCTGCCCTCCTCCACCTGAGGCCTTTCTGTGCTCAATACCCTTCCCCTGTACATAGTAGCATGTAGGCGCCTTATATACGCTTGCAGAATACTCCTTTTTTTCATTAAAGGGTAGCTCACCAGGTTTGGCAATTTTGAGCTGACAAGGGCAATGCGGAGATGGGGCAAAATTTTGCAACGCTATGCGCCGCGGAAATGGGTCAAATTTCAAGACGAACACTGCTCCTCCTTCCTTCGCAGGCGCGCGCCCAGAGAATGAGGGCATGAGGTGCACGAATGAATGGCCCTACATACACGGCAGTGCAGTGACGTTGGCCCTTACATAGACGACTGTGCTTTGACGTTGCCAACAGTGGCATGGGACATGACGAAAATTATTTAACACGACATGCGTAGTTTATGTAATTTGTTGCTTGATGAGATTAATAAAACTCTAGATAAATAATCAGACGCAATAAGTGAATGTGTGTGCCTTTTTTTCATTTTCCCCTGTGAATTGCAACGAGACGCAGGGCTAACGAACCAGCGTTCCACATGCGTTCGTGTCCCCGCGGTCAGCACATCGAACAGACGACAGCCTTGGAAGCAAAAGTAACACTTCTACGCAGTCGCGCACTCAATGTGCTCATCTATTCTACCGCTTCTAAGCCAGCATTTCCGAACCATCCTGCAGAAACAGGCAGTAAACCACAAAATAACGCTGGTAAAAAAAAACGCCGCTTCCGTGCACGAAGGTTGGGCTGTTCGGGCACGTCATGTGCACATGACTTCTTGGTCAGATGCCGCAGAGGGTAGGGAAAATATTTGGCCTGTGAAGGCTGCGGAGGAGCGGCAAGAGTTCGAGCTTGCCTTCTCTCATCCTCGTTTTGCACCGCTTCAAAAAAACGTTTTCTCAGCTCGTAATGAACCACTTAAAACATTTTTTAGGCAAAATGCTACTCATCGGACATACAACAACGTCCACAGTCTAACTAAAATTTCTTATGGGGCCTGGTGAGAGGCCCTTTAAGAGCTTTCTTTCTCTGACAGAAGGCGACATCAAGGGACCAAGCTTTCTCAGTTATGCAATGCGAATTTGTGCAGAATAAAAGGAATTAATGGTTTGCACATTGCATATCCAATTTTAGTGACATATGGTCAATGTGTGGCTTGTGCTGCCTGGTGTGTGCAATAGCAATTTGTGACCATGACCTCCAATTTTTCTAACATGGTAGAATTCTATGTAAACAAAGCATATGTTAAAAAGCCACGCTCTACCTGAAGTGCATTATGAAATGGTCACCTTAGAAGATAGGCATAACTGGCCATTTCAGGAACAGTCAAGGAATTCTGCCCCTGCACTACGGTTGATTTTCAGCCATCTCATTATTCAAGGAGAGGCTAGACAAAGGATAACCAAGCTTTGCCTGGATACCCCTTCATCGTGCACCCAAAGTCTGCATTGATTACTGGTTGCAAAAGTGCTTTCTGCATTAATAAGAATGCACAGCCAAGCAGTCATCGAAACTGTGGCCTTATTACGTATCAGAAGCAGAACCCCGTCACCTGTGAGCCTCAGTGGTAGAATACTTCTCATAAATAGGAAATTGATTATTCTGAATGTTTATTTGTTACTACAAAAAAAAAATGAATAGTCATGCATATTGATGGCTGTGACAGCAAGCAACTTACTGTTGTATCAACAAATCTTTTACATCCTTCGAGAAAAGTTGTCTTTCCAGATCCAATGTTCCCTTCCACTGCCACCTGCATTTGATATGATAACCAATGAAGGGCATAAACAAAGAGAGAAAAGCAGAAAGCTGTCTGACTTCTGAAAAAACAACAACATTTAAACAATAACTATATTACACGTGAGTACTTCTAGGACACTTCATTACGATCTTACATTGTTAGCGTAAAGAGTATGACAAGAAGCAACCCCGGGTGATCATTAAAGTGGGATGTCAAGTGGTTAAAAGAGGTCCCACTTACAGCCAAGTGCCCGTTTGCTTCCAAGCGGCCATCAAGATGTGGCACCACTTGTAACACAAATGATCACCCTTGATTTCAGGTGGCCATAAAAAAAACACACATGGACAGCAACCCAAGGGTCTCCCTTGCTTTCATATGGCCATTCAATATTGCCACTTTTGATAAACGAGCACAGAAATAATATTCAATAGACAATGGCATAAAAGAAGTAGCAAACTCTTTGCAAAGTCCTAAAAAAACTCTCAGCGATAGTGGCAGAAAAATTAGCCTATGGTTGTGTCTCAGTTACCTGTTTGTGTGAACCATTTGGTTTGCTTTAAATATGTGCCAGCAACAACGTAAAATTTCATATAGAGCTACTAAAAAGAAATTTTTGACCATCTTAAATTGACACAAAATTGTCGGGCTTACTTTCACTGTGCGGCCGTTTCTTGCTGCCTCAAGGAGCGCTCTGTCACCCAAAACATCTGTTGGTGTGAAAGGAAGGCAGCGTAGGTAACTGTTCATAAACCAATAATGTGCATAGCATAGAGAGTAACTAACACAATGAAATCAAATGACATTTTCAGTGAGACTTGCAAGTAGGTCTAAAATAAATGTTGCTTTTTTTTTTTTTCTTCTGGTTTGCAAGGGGAGGAAGGGCTGCATTGTCAAAATACACGGTACGCATGGTTGGTTGAGGTTATGTAGATGATTTTCCAATATTAAGACGACGCAACGCTTGTAAAACGTGAACATTAGTTCCACTCAATCCTGTTCCTTGTTTTTTATCCCCCTTCACGATTGTACTGCGCTAGTATTAACGCAGGCCGGGCGCGCCGCTCGGATTATTGACGATACTGTCAATAGTCCACACGCACCGCCGCAACGAAGGATAAATGCTTCCCAGCAAAATCTAAACTAATAAGCGAGTTATCAGTGTGCGAACAGCTCAAATAAATGCGCACAGTTCAATATAATGTTCTTCTCGTGCATGCGAAGTCCGAAACTATATCAAACACCTAGAAAACGCATGCAAAATGAATTCTCAGTGCGTACACATCGTTGCCACGGCTGTCTTCCTGTACACGCCGCGTATTCTTATCTTGCCTTGAGTATATACTCCGTAAAACCCAAAGCTAAACACAAGTCACGCGTTTTCAAATCTGCGGGCTGCAACTGCAGATGTCGGCTGCCTAAGAACGCTGGGTCAGTTGGGCTGCACCGCTGAACATCTACACCACTGCCACCAGTTGGAGATAAGCGGGACCAATTTTTGTCAAGCTAGCACAACTGTAATAACCTCGTGTTTTTACACAACACGCTTTTATTTTATAAATCTTTAAATAAATGACACCTTAGAACGCACGAGGTTCGTATCGAGTGAAAAATATAGCAACCCATATTGTGGTAAACGCTGCAGAAAGCGCGCGCGGCAGAACTTTGCTCGGCATAGAGCTGATGCAACGTTTCTATAAGCTTTGTTTAATACGGTACGGGCAGAAAGTGAATGCTCCTGCTTCAACGTCACTATGCTACAAAAGTACACAAGTACACGGTCAGAAACTTTCGATCTCAGCTGGCTTCAGCGTTCGACAACAAATTTTACAAAAAATGCTTACCCAGCAAGTGAAGTGGTCGCGTAGCTTTACAAAGCTGTTGCAGCACTCGTGACACGAACATGAAAATTTTAATTCTTGTCTGCGCTCACTACGTTGTTAACGCAGACACGCTCTGCTGCCATTACGGCTGTCCATTGCGTTATCATTACGGCGAAGTGGCGTGGTAGTGGGCGCAGTTGACCTACCACTCAACTACACTACACTTCTAGTACACTCTATAAGTGTCAAACTCTATACTCTAACTCACGTAGGAACACGGAGGACCTTTCCTTCCTCCGTGCGTAGGAAGGAAAGGAAACCTTTTCATCATTTCATAGCCGTCTACTTGTAGCCGTAGGACAACGCCTCCTCTAGGAAGATGCCTGCCGCATGAGAAAAAAAAAACAACTGCCACACCCTTTCTCTTTTTCATTTTGAAAATGTTCTTGGTCGCTAGCGTCACCTGTGGCGGACCGTGCAACAACGAAACACTTTGCATAACTCCGAATTATTGGTGCACAGTTGCAGGTCTCGAACAACTCTCGACTGACGCAGATAGAAAACGCTTAGCTAGTACCGCCCGTCGCCGAGATAATAGTGTCGGTCTCGAGCGCCACCGCGCGGAGCTTGTTTAAAACTGAAGGCAGGCCAACTTCGTTGGGAGCGCGAGCCATTCCTCAGGCATCTTTCTAGAGGAGGCGTTGGTTTAGAGGAGGCGTTGGTCATAGACTATGCAGAACAGTTGGGTAGGGCGTCATAGTAGCCGTTACCGACCGTAAGTCGCAAGACAATCCAAGATCGATTGCTGGCGTTGTGCTAGTTGTGCGCTTTCATACGTATGTTAGTTATGCGCATTTAAATCGCGTTCTAAACCAGTGTTAAGAGACAGCAGAAAGACGTACTGAGTAAAGCAGTTTTTGAAATTTCAGAATGTCCACTTTTGACTTGACGAAGCCGGTCGATAGCTCTGAAAGTGAAGATGAAGACTACGTTCCATCGGGTACGTGCTGCCGAGATCGAGACTCATTCTCTCGATATTGGCCAATTCCCCATAGAGGGTAGGAACCACTTTTAAGGAACAAGCAAACTCGCAGGATGCGGCGAAATCGTCGCAAGCGCAGTCTGTAGATCATATACATCTTATGTTATCTTTGTAGGCAATCGATGCTTACACTGTTTTGTACCACTCATCTATAGCGCGGCGGCCGGTTTCTGTCATTGTTGCTCTAGATTCTACATTCTGTTGTGTTGCCCCGTGAAACTTATCGTCATATAATGTCACAACTTAAACATTAGTGTGCGTACTAATGTCACACGTTTTACTAGAGTGACAGACTGTATGTTTACTTTTGCGTATCGTAATGTGAATACTTTCAGCCGAGGAGAGTGATGGCGATGAGTCTGATGCTGAAAACGACGCTGGGAGTGACGCCGAGGTACCAGCTGGAAAGAAGCCTAAGAGGACAAAGAAAAAACAGTTGTCGAGGTGAGAATCTAGCCGTATGAAAATAGTGACTTCCGAATTTGTGTCATTAACGATATATCCACTAAAAATAATCATATTAGGCTAGTACCGCCCAAAAGGCATAATGACAGTTAAAAAGACACAGAAATCTCTGCACTTAACTGTGTCCACTCGTGATCAATTGTTCAGACAGAGGCTTAAAGGGCCCCAGACCTCCCCAAGGACACAAGTCTACAGTGAACGTGAAGCTCCAAAAACTTTAGACGTGGATAACGTTAGGCCAGTTGGTGGGGCATTGTACAAAAATTGAGCTTTCTGACACAGGTACGAAGGTAGACGCACACAGCATTGTGTGTCTACCTTTCTTGTTCATTTCATAAAACACTGTTTTTTCACCTCGTACAACGCAAGAACCTTTCAGGACGATGTTACAGTGCCAGTGTTACAGGCATTTAATGACCAACAATGCGGCTGCCACTCGTTTGGCGACTTATTTGCTACTCTCACACCATGTTCACTCTCTCCTACTAACAGTGTTCTCTGTTGTCCTTTATGAAAGGAAGCACGTGGCTGGCGCTTTGCGGTGGCCGCCTACAGCGATAAAAAGCATGTTCACTTCACCGTCATCTATCGACGAACAAAATGGCCGGTCTCGAGGCGCACGCTTGCCTTCGGACTAACTGTGGCTGGCAGAAGTGCTGCTTGATACGTTCCCACTCTGATAACGCAATCGGCGATACCTGCAGCGCGTCATCTGCTGCAAACAAATCAAGTGTGGTGCACGAATACAGTATATACGTAAAAGCACTGTTACTCGCAACTCGCTAGAAGTGCAATTCGCTTACGCCAGTTGCGCTTTAACGAAACTAGACATGCCTAGGCGAGAGGGATGCACTTGGGCTGAGGCCTGGTTGTAGTTTTCATTTTGTGAAGTGTATCAGTGTACCTGTGAAAATTGTCTTTCGAGGTTGAATCCCACTTACTTCGAATGTACCCATCTGTCAGCGGAGAAAAAAAAAGTACTTCGGCATTTAGTATATGTGGGTTTGCTGCTGTGACGCCAAGAATAAAGCACCCTTACCATGGTGACAGCAAGCGAGATGTTGCGGGGTAAAAAAAACTTGAAGAAAAAAAGAAGTTTATATGTTAGAAGTCATGAGAGAAAAATTGTGATCACAAAACGCCATGACACATATCATTATGCTTACATAAAAATAGCAAATATTTTCTTCTGTCTTGAACACCAAGGAAATACAACTGCATTGTGATGTACGAGACACCTCTGAATACCTGGTGGCATCCCCATTCGTTGCGACAACAGCTGCCATTCTTGAGGGCAGCGAGTTGTACAAGGCAGCCGTCGGTGACCTATCGCTTCTCAGCCACTGCCACTCCTCCTTTATGGCCCCCCAGAGGTTGTCAGCAAAGGCCCCGCCGCGTTGGTCTAGTGGCTAAGCGTTGGTCTAGTGGCTAAGCTGACCCGCAAGGTCGCGGGATCGAATCCCGTAGGCGGTGGCTGCATTTCTGATGGAGGCAGAAATGGTGCATGCCCGTGTGCTCAGATTTGGGTGCACGTTAAAAAACCCCAGGTGGTCAAAATTTCTGGAGCCCTCCACTACAGCGTCTCTCATAATCATATGGTGGTTTTGGAATGTTAGACCCCACATATCATCGTAAGGTTGTCAGCAAAGCCTTCATGCAGAGACTGACTCGATTGATTGATTGATTTGGGGGTTTAACGTCCCAAAACCACCATTTGATTATGAGAGATGCCGTAGTGGAGGGCTCCGGAAATTTTGACCACCTGGGGTTCTTTAACGTGCACCCCTGCAGAGACTGACTCGCTAGCACTGTTTTGAAGAGGCCCCACACGTTCTCTATGATGTTAAGGTCTGGAGACTGGGGTGGCCAGTTGAGTGTTGATGCCACGATCTTCGAAAAACTTTGTTACCTTTTGGGATGTTGAACAGGCGAGTTGTCTTGCTGTAATACCCTTGTCACACTTAACAACTCATTCGCACTTTGTGCGAGTCTACTTACGCTCACAAAGTGTCATTTTGGCAGTTTGCTGCTACACGAGAAAGCGAAGTGTACTTTAGTAATGATGATAGTGGCAATCGATGGGTTTGTAGCGCAACTATATTATTTTTGCACCAATGTCTCATCGTCCGAACACGTTGTCTTCATGGAAGTTGCACCAGTTACATACGCCATCGTAAACGACTGTAGAACGACTCGCCTACACATGTGAAAGTGTGCCTGGAAGTAAACAGCATAACATACGCAGCTATCGCACAGCATTTGCTGCTGCATCCCCCTAGCGGGTGTTGCCGCAACCTGCTCGATGGTAAGAGTAGCGAGAATTTTTGTTCATTTATGACTTGCTTTAATACATAGCATTATCCTTTATAACAGAAACACTAGTTTAAAAATAGTATGAGCGCCACTTTAGGCAACAGCGTGTTTATGTGTAAGCCATTGGTACCGAGGCTACACACTTCGTCACAGTGAAGTAAGGTTGGGGAATACACTTGCCGGCTAAGTGCAGCGAGTGACACTAAAGTTGCTCAGGTGACAGTGCGCAAATGGCACTCGCAGCTAAGTGTACTCGCTCAAAGTGCACTTAAGATGCCATGTGTCACAGGGGAATAAGACGTAATCGCCCTCTGGGAAAGGACCATTCAGGAACTAAAGCACCATCATGTCATCCAGGATCAAGCAGTAGCACTCGGACTGTCTACTATGTGGACTAGCAGACAAAGCCCTTCTTTGGTAACAAGACTCCATACGCACACTGCTGAATGGCCATTTGCCACCACTTGCTGGAGGTATTCTGATCTGTAACTGTATAAAAGCATCATTATATCGCCCATTCACTGCAGATCAACAGTCACATTACTTATCTTGAGTACATTCATTTATGCCAACAATGTGTAACTCCGTTGGGTTACATAGTACGCATACTTATAATATCTATCCATGTCTACCTAAAGTACTAATTTATGTTTTTAATCGTGTTCCTATACCATTAAACTTACTGTTGTTTGTATTATCTCATCTTGAGACAGCACTTGGCCTGGTGGTGTGCCTCTGTCTGTGCAGCAGTCAGCCTACTGCCACCTTTTCAGTGTCTATACTTTCAGGATATGCCAAACGCTTTAAGTATGAACTAATACGAATGACGATAATAATGTTAGTGCTAAACCAAACACAGCCATATATTAACACAAGTGAACATAATCATACCGCACCTTAAATATAAAATTCTTTATTCTGTATATGCGATATGAAACACTACAGTACCGTAAAACTGCATAAAATGGCAATGTCTGGTAGAGGTTTTTAAGCATTTTAGTTAATATTTTTACACAATAAACGTCACCTACCGACTGTTTCCTGGGGCCACACTCTATGCCTCTGATCCCACCGGGTCGTGAACAAGTTCTCATCAGTAAAACCATTCTCTCAGTCAGAGGTAGTCCAAGGTTCGTGGTCCATTGCAAATCGCAGCTGTTTTGCTTGGTTGTGTTTTTCGCATCGGAGGTTTCCTGCATGCAACCCTCTATCTTAGGCCAGCTTCTGCGAGGCGATGCTTCTGCTTCGCAGTTATCGTGCATGCCCTAATACTTAGTTCCTATAGCATTTTACGAGATGTTATCAGTGGTCTCGCTGCTCTTGCAGCTACAAATGCATGGTCTTCATCCGCAGTCATTGCCCGTGGTCTGCGCCTGTGTGGAGCGTCCTTCACACGGTGTTCTTTCTTTAAAGGCCTACACTATACTATTTACTGTTCTAGGGGCCTTTTCATAATAGAGGCAATATGTCGCTGACTGCTGCCAGCAGTGCTGAGCTTAACTTTTTATCGTTCTTCAAGTGGAACACGTGTGCCATCTGGATGGTTTTCTTCTCGTGGTGCACACAAAAAAAAACTGAACTAAGCACGTGCACATTGCTTCTTATCAAGTCATCAAGCAATGGATTGAGCTGGGCGAGTTGGTAATTCAAACTACAAAACTGCGCGAAAAAGCGACAAGAAATGTTAACCTGGTTGTTTCATTCAGGAATAAGTTGGGCTAAGTCTGCGCAGCGGTGGATAAGAAAATTGAAGGCAAAGAAAAAAAGTGGTGTGATTGTGAGGTCAGTCACCAGGAAACGTTTGTTGAATGTGGAATGGGGGCGGTGTATCTTATCCCCTTGTCATGTGGTGAGTGCTAATTGGACAAATTAAACGGTGTTTGAATAACAGACTAATAGATGGCGAGGAATCGCTGAAGACCCACCCTTTGTCGAATCTGCGCCTACATTGCAGGGATTGCAAGTGTTACCCATTACTTCGCAAAACAAGGGGGTCGTAACGGCACAGGGATAAAACAGCGAGAGAAGTTGCTGAGGCTTTTTACATACTAAAGTATGGCAACACATGTGTAGCGAGGCGTTCAGTGACTTTGCACCAACGAGAGATAGATTATTTCACTGCCAACCTCTAATCTTTCACGTCATTTTTTTTGCTAGTTATATAGTGTATCCTTCAAAACTTTCAGTTGCTAGTCTGCGCTTGTGTGTATTCCTGCTCTGTTTCTTGTCACTTTTTCACGCAGTTTTGTAGTTGCAATGGATTGAGTATGCGAAAGTTTCCTCCCGCAGCATTGTCAAGCCCGTGTGTTACTTGTGTAAACTAGCGCAGTCACTGCTATCTTTGTCCCAGTATTCCTAGATGTCCTCGACATGAACTTGGTACACAAACTCAACTGATAACAATGCTGCCGCTCGCCTGAAAACTGTGCAGCAGTTTTCATGGAATTGGGGCTGCACATAGTTTTGTATATACGTAGTGACAATGTGGAATCGCCACCATCGTTTACTTGATGTCCGCTCATGCCCTTGGATGGACATGCTCGAATTCTGAGATTAGTACCAGGCAAGGAGGTCTCAGTCTTTTCCTAGAGCGACTTTCACGAGAAAATATCATTTCTGTATTTATTTACAACGCAGGGAAGATGACATAGCTGAAGCTAAAGGATGTTCACATGAACATTCTCATCTTTGTTCACTGGAGGACTATAATGCTGCAAATCAGCTTAGAAACGTATTGATTGGGGCTTATGGAAGTATACAAGCTCCAAGGAGAAGCCATGGAGCTTGGATGATACAGGATATCACTGAATGACATCTGTATCATTCAGTGATAAACAACCACCACACCTCCACCTGCGTGCATCCCTCTCACCTGTACATCTCTGTTTTCGTCAAAGTGCAACTCGCGTAAGCCGAGAGACGGTGCATTTACATGTAACAAGTGCTGGCACACCATGCTCTATTTGTTCGCAGCAGACGATGCACTGCAGGCATCACCGGTTGCACGATCGGAGAGGGAGCGTAATTCAGCAGTGCTTGTTTACGGGCCCTGACTTGTTATTTGGTTCACCAATAGATGACGGCAAAAATCAAACATGTTTTCTTTCGCTGTCAGTTGGCGGCGCTGAAGGCGGCCGCCGCAGAGCGCCGGCCTCGTGCTCATGTGTTCCCTTTCATAAAAGACGACAAAGTACATCTCACGGTCTTGTGTGGGAACGACTTTGTTCAGGCTGTTGCTGTTATAAAACGTTGTCCATTATTGATTAACATGCCTATGATCTTTGCTGTTACCACTGTCGCTGTGTTCTTGCTCTGGCTCTAGGTTTAAACTTGCCGTGGTAGTGCACCAACCTTTAATGTCATAGAACATTTCCTATGCGAGAGATGACCAAAGTAAACTTTGCCAGCATGAGCTATTTATCTGTTAAGTGTCCATTCAGAGCTTCAGCGCATCTCCACAAGTGGCCACAAAAACATTTATTACAATTTCTGCTCCAGACAAAGTACTACCCACTATAATCATCATCCTTTGCCTGTCCTATGGCCACTGCTGGAGTAAAGCCTCTCTCAATGATATCTAATTTACCGCATCTTTTGCGAGTTCATTGCATTTTATTCCTGTGAATTGCTTGGGTTCAAGCGGAAGCCGTGATCCCTCTCGTTCGCTGCTTTCAATCTAGCTTGGACCGGCGTTTCACTTTCGCTGTTGCAACGGAGCCGCTCGAGTTCTATCTCGTGCTGTCGCTGCCGTTCCCTTTCCTCTCTTTCTTCTTTCGCCCTCTCAGCTGCCAGTCTTCTTTCTCCAGCTCCAAACTTCAATTGCAGCTCTCTTTCTTCTTTCAGCTGTCGCTCTTTTGCTTCTCTTTTCTCTCTCGCCCTTTCAGCTGCCAGCTTTTCTCTCTCCAACTCAGCTTCTTTTTCCGCTTTGCTCTTTCGACCGCCAACCTCTCTCTTTTCCAGCTCGGCTGCTTTTTCTTCGTTTTCCCTCTGGGTGACCCACTTCCCGTAGTTCGGCGCAGAAAGACCCATCTTTCACCAAGAGCAACTAACTTTTCGAGATCCATGTGTCTCGCAAATAAAACCTTGCCGCGTGCAAAAAGTATCTGCCTAGATCAGTCTATCGGAGCACTCCCCTGCACTCGTTAACGAGAACACTGAACAACACACCAAGTCGTTCCGATAGCACTATCAACAACTCGAGGCTCTTTCTCACTACTTTGGACACACTGTGCACCAAAAGGTCCTGTTTCGCGGACGCCAGATTAATTGTCACACCTGTCCCGTTTATTAGGGAGGCGATCGCCGGGCTAATTCCAAGAGCCGAAGTATCGGCCCCCCGAACCGCACCACGAAAGCGTGGACAATTTAGAAGTGGTCCTTATTGGTGCGCCAGCGGACGCCGGCTGTGGCCCAAAGAACAAGACAGAGCCGAGAGTCGATAAACAAACAAAATTATATTCTCATTAACGGCAGATCAAAACAATACACACGTATGCACACTCCACAATAGTTACATACAATACGTCACCAAACAGACAATGTACTACACAGTACAATCAACCACACTTGAAACAACGGACACGGACAACAATACGCACTATAATGCAGTCGCATGCATTGAACACCCAAGATACTTAAAGACTAAAGAGATAGGAAACCTATTCAGTCCAAAGTTCTTGGAACCAAAGTCGAGATGATACTCTTCCGAGAATCACTCACTCAAAGTCCAGCGTTGTTGTCGTTCCGCAGCTCTCGAAGTCTCTCTTCCAAGAAACCTCCCGTCTTCAATTGGCCACTCTTCCAACTTCAACTTCTTCGCCGGAAATCCGTCGGCTTCACACACGCAGCTGTTGCCCGCGTCTTCGCTCGATAGCGGTAAACTCACGCTCTTGCCTGTAGCTCGAGCCGTCCCTACGGACCAAAACTTCGCCGACTACACGGCGGACTCTCTACGCACTCTGGCGCTCACTTCCGTCTCCTCCTGTTCTGTCACTACGAGCAGAACCTTCGCCGACTCCACGGCGGAATTCCCTACGCGCTCTGGCATTAACTTCGTCACCTCCTGCTTTCTCTCGTCTCGGCCGCTCGATTAAATACCTTCCGCGCCACTTTCCAGAATTTTCTCGTCCTTCGTCGGCGCGATACGCAGCGAAGGCTGGAGAGAGGCGAGACGGTTTGTCAGCCCTCCGCGTCGGGTGACTCAGCTCGGCGTAGCCACGCCTCCTTCGTTCTGGAAATTTCTAGCGCTTGCCCGGCCGCCGCTGTGGGGTGAGGAGGTTCGTCTGCGAAGCCGTGCTTCTGCGGGGAGAGCGCGCGCCCGGGAGCCTTGGATGTTTGCTTTCTCTTTTTTTTTCTTTTTACCTCGCGGCGTTTCTACCGCCCGTTGTCGCAAGGATTTGGCGGCGCGCTTTCTTTTTAGCGCTCGTTCTGTGACAGCTGGTCATCCACTTTCACAGAGTGCAATGGCTTATTAATTTTTTCAAGATTATTTGTTATCTTTCAAGTTTCAGCCTCAAATGTTTGAACTGGCAATAGGTAGTGATTGTGCATTTTTCGCTTAATAGACAGTGGTAAATTTGCCTGCCATAATTTGGGCTGTCTTGTCGTATGCATTCCCGCCTATTTTTTGTGAATTTTTTTTTACTATTGTGATCATCAGCCTGACTACATCCACTGCAGGACAAAGGCCTCTCCCATGTTCCACCAATCAACTTGGTCCTGTGCTTGCTCCTAATTTGTACCCGCAAATTTCTTAATCTCATCTGCCCACCTAACCTTTTCTCTCCCCCTAACTTGCTTGCCTTCTCTGGGAATCCAGTTAGTTACCCTTAATGACCAGCGGTTATCCTGTCTACGCGCTACATGCCCAGCCCATGTCCATTCCCTGTTCTTGATTTCAACTATGATATCCTCAACCCCCGTTTGTTTCTTAATCCACTCTGCTCTCTTGTTGTCTCTTAAAGTTACACCTATCATTTTTCTTTCCATTGCTCGCTGCGTCGTCCTCAATTTAAGCTGAACCCTCTTTGTAAAGTCTCCAGGTTTCTGCTCCCTAGCTAAGTACCGGCAAGATACAGCTGTTATATACCTTCTTCTTGAGGGATAGTGGCAATCTGCCTCCCTTCTTTATTTCAACTATCATATCCTTAACCCTGGTTTGCTCCCTACTCCACTAGGCTCTCTTCTTGTCTCTTAAGGTTACACCTATCATTTTTCTTTCCATTGCTCGTTGTGTCGTCCTCGATTTAAGCTGTGTTGGCTCTCTTTTCAGTTATTGACCTTGGTATACATACGCCTGCCCACTGTGAGGATGCCGACATTGAGGCAAGTGGGAGCAGGAAAACTGATGTAGGCACCAAGGTGTAGCCACAGCAAGTGCCCCTCTGTAGGAAATTCGCCATGTCACTGGCCAGCTGCTATAAAAATGGGTCCTAAAATCCTACCTCTGGCAGGCAGGAAAATAGTGCCATTCGCAAGCAAAGCTGCTAATATATACAGGAGAGTTTTACAAATTTTCAGGACATTTAGTATACTATTAAAAATTTCTTGCGACTACACAATGACTACATTGCCGTGTTAGGGTGCTTAAAATAAGTGCACTTTCTGATACATTATCGATCCATGTACCAGTGAAGTATTGAAGAAACTTAATGGTTGGTTTATGTGGTTTAGTGTCGAAAAGTGACCCACTTTTTGTCTGACCCCTTGGTGTAAGCCACCAGATAATTTGACCCACTCGGGTTCTTTAATGTGCACTGTCGTCAGATAGTACATGGGCTAGTCGCATTTCACCTCCATTGAAATGTGATCACTTCAGCAGGGATAGAACCATCAAGTCTGCAGCTATGTATCATATCTCGTTGTACTACCACAGCACACTGAAAATTGCTAATGAACTGTTCATAATTTGTTAGAATTCAGTTTACTTTGCTGTTTACTATATTAATTTGCATAATTCTAACTGTTCTATGGCATGTGTATGTCCTTTTTTTCTTCTACCAGGAAACGTAAGGGTGGAATATATTTGGAGGGTGAAGTTAGTCCAGCACACGGAAGTCCTGATAAAGCAGACGATGCCGAGGAGCTAGTTCCTGCACTCAACCCGGACGAGGAAAAGAAGCGAGCAGATGATCTGTGGTCTGATTTCTTGCGTGATGTTGAACCTATTCCTAGGAAACGCACTGTTCCTGCTGCAAGTGCTGTCTCTGTAAGTTGCTTGTTTTAGCATTCAATGCTGAAACTGAAACATTTTACTAATTATTTTATAGAAGTTTATGGAGACACAAGCTCAGGTTCTTCATTTTTCAGTGGAAGATGTTGTAAGGTCATAACAGATGATTTGGGTGGCGTAGTTGTCCGCTGTCTCCACAATTGTCTATGTCTAATTCATTCAAAATGAGAAAAAATTGTCCAGGATCAAGTGGTATTTGAATCCAGGCCCCTTGCGTGGCAGTCATGTATTATACTACAAAGTACTACACCAGTGCTTAAAGGGGCCCTCGAACACTATTGAAGCATGTATTTTTTATCTGTGGTTTGCGTAGACCGATAGCTGAAGATTATTTTAGCGTGGGGCCAAGCGCCGATATCAAATGATTTAGTATTTTAATCGTGCAATAAAGTCACTACTGCCGACCGAATTACCACGTAGTGGCGCTCGCCAGAACTTTGTCGGCAGAAATGACGCTGGAAGGTTGCCGCTATATCATTGGATAGATGTAACGTTAGAAGCGATCGTGATGTAGGATCAAAACTGAGGTTACTAATCTGTTTAATTTTTCTTCTGTGCTTTTTCATCGAACCCTGAACAGACGCGGCCATAGCAAAAAAAAAAAACGCGACTACAAAGCACGACAGGGGCGCTGGCTGCCATTTCGCCTCTGGATTTTTGGCTTGCGCGGGTCGGATGTATATATGCGAAAGACCTCTCTCTTTTTCTTCCCTCTTCTTGCTTTTGGGAGTTTGCAAGCTGCCTCTTTCCGCACGTGTGCAGTTGAAAGGGTGCAGTACACCATTGTTGTTCGTTGGGTGGCTCACCAAACAACGTGCGTAGGGTCAACAACACTTCACTGTCTTGGTAGTTCCACAAGTTACTCTCTCAGAATAAAAGGAGAGATTGACTCGGAATGTTGTAAAAAAACAGCAGAAAATACCTCGCTTCGACACAGTAGCTCTTGCTCACATTCTGGCAAGCCAGGTGTCAGGCACCACGCTTGTTACTGTGGCAACAAGTTCAACATGACTTTGGAAACAAAAAAAATTAAAAAACAAGCAACAGTGGGGTGTGAGCTTCCCCTACGTGGGCACTTCCAGCTTATTTCATTGAGGCAGCCTTCCGACGTCATGGGTCAGTGAAATGTGGTCAAGTGACCCCGCGAAAATTGAGTTGAGGGCCAGCGTTTTTTTTTATTTTCAATTTTCAAAGTCGAATAACTTCAGATTGCGTGTTATTACCACTGCCATTTTTGCTGCATTACTCTGCCTGTACTTCAGTCTACACAACCCATGAATAAACATGAGGGGTTAAAAAGTGTTGGAGGGCTCCTTTAAAGCTCCTTTGCAAAAAGATCCTATACAGGCATCATTTCAAGCACAGAATGACATTAACAGAGGTAATGTAGCATGGTAGAGGGAGCAAAATAATGACCAGGTGTCACAATATGCAAATGCCACAACTGGTGGTTGGTTTGAAGCTTCCCACTCATAACAATGTGCTTTTCCGTAATTCATCAGGTACAGCATGAACGAGGTGCACATAATGACTCACATACCATGTTTACACAATTGCAGGTCGACCCGTTTTGTCATCTTAATTTTGAAATCCGCAGTTAGGGGCTCTACCTAGTACAGATAACTACTCCGGTTACCAAGTCTTTCTAAATATAATCCTGCATAATTTTGTGAAGCTAGCTTTTCTGCACAACTCTTAAACAGTGCCATGAAGCCTACTTGGCACACTGGAGTTTTTTTTTTTTTTTTTTAATGAAAGGTGTCGAACTCCTTTTTCTTTCTTTGCCATGCGATTTCAGGGGGGTCGACCCACATTGAGTCTGCTTACATTTGTGTACATGCGGTATATGCAGTGGGTACCACACTTCTCCGCAGACGTATGAACAGTGGCATTGTGGACACTTCCTTGTTTCGCAAAATTCTCATTATTTCTGGCGTAGTGAGTTCCTTGCAATCGTACTTGTAGTAGTCATCCCAAAACAATTAACATTGAGCTCTAGAAAGGACACTCCTCCAGATTTCACTGTGGCTGTGTTGCGTGTTCTGCACAGGCCTGTCATTTTAATAAAACAGTTCTTGAGGCTATTTTTCTACTTTTCTAAATTTGCACAAATAATCCCTGGCTGTCTGTCAGGTTGTGTGCACGCTAGTCTTTGAAAGTATCTGAGTGCTACTGGTGAGCAGGATATTGCATAGGCATGCTATGCAGTCGGAGCATTACATAATGCTTAAAGGAGCCATGCAACCATCCTTTAATATGATAAATTAGATTCTGCATTTGAAGAATAATCCCCTGCAATCTATAGAAGCACTTCATAGTCAAACGGGGGGAGAAGGTGGAGAAACAATTACCATATTTACCCGCATAGTCCTCAAACTTTTTTTTTTTTTGGAAAATCTATGGAAAGTTAGGTGGTGCGAGAATTACACAAGGACAAATTTTCGTGAACACGTATGGAGTGGGGAGAAAAAAAAGAAAAAACTAAGTAGCCACAAATCAGGATTCTCATGCTAGCAACTAACTTAAGAAGTACTAATCAAGACTTAACAATAAACCACAGGTTCAACACAAGGCAAGATTTATTTGAGACACAAAAGTGCCAAGCAAGTAGTAGAGAGTTTCGGGATACCGTATACAAAGCTTGCGGGCATAGCATCACTGAATGGGAGCTTGCAAAAGGTCAGCGTGCGCCGTCAGCCTTGTGACAAAATAAAGTTTTAGCATCCATCCCAGTCTTAGGCACATTGAATAGCGTCTTGGTGGCTTTCAGTTGCCCGTGCTGCCATCGCCAGTAGTAAACACAAACTCGTCGACTCCAAAGTGCCTATCAGAGGCCCTGTTGCTGTTAGTGCATGATCAATCACTTTCAAACTTCACTTTCAAGCACCCATGTAGCTTCCGTATCACCTCGTAACGTAACCACAGAACAAACGCAACGTATGTGCATGCGAGCACTGCACACTTGCCACTTTGGCTTGGCTTAATTGGATTGGGGCTCCGTGCGTTGATAGTCTGTTGCACGCTATCATCATCAGTGGTTGAAAGGAGCAGACAGTATTACGGCTGCAATTTTCAGGGGTGCGATAATTAACCGTGAAAAAAATCTTATTTTGTTGGGAAATGTGGGGGGTGTGAGAATTACGCTAGTGCGAGGACTACGAGAGGTAAATACGGTACTGAGCTTCCCAACTACATTCATGACAACCAAGGCATTAGGAACTCCTTTGTAGTAGAAAATGCCTCACTTAACATGCCTACAAGCAGTGAGATTTCAGTACAAGGTTTTAAAAAACGAAAATCAGACTCATTTTTCTTTTCTAATAATCACCTCTTATCACAGAACAACAGTGGTTGACCATGCAGGATGTCTATGTTGCTTTGGGCTCGCAGTATTCTTGGCTCTTTAGCCATTGTTTTTTTTTTATTATTATTCAGAGTACTGTTGAACATAGACATATCAAATTCAAAAGGGATCACAAAAAAAGTTCTATATATAGGCACACTCAAACTTCAATATAATGAATTCAGATATAACGAAATATTGGTTGTAATGAAGTAAATGAAAAATAGTCTTGCGATATATATAGTGTTAAAAATATACCATTAAAACAAATTTTTGTGTAAGATGCAACTTTGTTATAAGGAGGTATGTTTGTAAATCAATATATAATATTTTATAAATGAAATATATTCTAGGGGATTTACTACTGTTTGGTATACAAAATAATTCATTTCATGTGAGTTCGATATATGTGGGCTCATTTACTAATAGCCCTATCAAACAATAAAGTTTAATGTCATTAAATGAAGATTACTTGCATAAATGAATGAGTTGCTAAATGTATTCGAATGTGTTTCTGTCATCAATGAGTGCCCTCACTGCAAAGGTGCCCATGGACAAATTACATAACGTGTAAATCATTTGTTATAACAATTAATATTTATTTCAAGTGCAGTGTTTTATTTTTGCCAAACAGTTCAATCGATGTAGTAGCTGTGATGAGTTTGAGCATACTCGTTCCAGTGATATTGTTGAGAGAGTTTCTGGCCATGTCATGCCATTTGCTCAGTAGCAGCAGTCAGTCAGTTAACAGACCTTTGCTCAAAAAAAATTTTACTTGCACTTGATGTGCATACCAATTTTTTTTGTTGATTCCAGTTCTCATCGCATTAGGAATATTGCCTAGAAATAACATTAATCCTGCCATATATCAGTGCACTGCACCTAATGTAATTTCAGTGTCGAATGCCCATAGATACAAATGACATGAAACCCTCCCAGAGGTGTGAGTTACTGCTGCATGAAGGAATTGTGCTATAAGGCATTTTGTTGCCGAGCACAAGGTCGCTCAATCAATTCATGGCTATAACCAAGCTATCAATAAATCATGGTGTAAATTTTCATTTGCCTGAAAAAAATTTATGCTGCATGGAATGCTTTTCATACAGGGTGCCTCAGCTATCTTTAGCGAGAGTTTTAAAATATGCCAACACATGCAATTAAGATGCGACCAAATGCATGTTGCTGACCGTTGTCTGGAGTGAATCAGACTATTTTTTATGCTTTGATCAATTGTGTAATTAGACCATTTTAACTAACTAATTTCTGAAAGAACGTAGATGGGTCTAAATTCAATGAGAAAGTTGTACATTGCTTTCCAAACTGTCTGACCAGACAGTCTCAAACTTTATATCTGTTATTTATGAGTGTTTTTCTGCTAACTGCTGATGCCCGCGAAACACAAAAAAAATATACCGCGTGATTCTGGTGCTTCCTAACAATCCGCATACGAACGATAAGCTTCCTTCGCACTGGTTCATGACAGTGGTAAGCAGTCAAGCGGTTATCGCTTTTGTGGCTGATATAGAAACGTGTTCGTCGCAAAGCCACTACCATTGTTGTGGCCCTGTCGAGACAGCACAATCGGGCAAATGCTATGGTCGTTTGTATACTGAATGTTAGTGAGCACTACAATCATTGTGCACTCTGGCATGTGAGCAGGCTTGTCACATGGTATTTTTTGCATTTCACGGACATTTGCAGTTAGTAGGAAGACCCTAAAAATTAACAGATATTGACAAAGTGTGTCACACAATATAAAGCTGGAAACTGTATAATCAGATGCTTTGCAAGCCAATGAACAACTTTGTCATTGGAATGTCTGGCCTAGTTTCATTGCCTAAAAAGTTAATTAATAAAAGTGATCTAATTAGGCAATTAATCAGAACACAAATATTAGTATGAGTCACTCCAGGCAACAGTCAGCAACATGCATTTGATCGCATCGTCATTGCGCATGTCGGCATATTTTTAAACTCAGGCTAAAGATAGCTGAGCCACCCTGTATAATATAATTATTAAGGAGAAATTTCAACATATAAATAAATGAGCATTGTGTCTGTTTTGGGCGTTTTATTAGAAGGAGCCGAGCAAACCATCTTCTTCTACCACAAGTCCGCAAGAAGCACCAGAAAAGAAAGTGAAGATTACTCAGCTTCTGGAATTCGCTGGAGAGACCATCAAGTGAGCACTATAGGACCCTTATTTTATTCCTTTGGCTGTTGAAGGTTTGTTTGCATGTTTATGGCATGTATGGTATGCATGTCTAGTTTGCTATAATTTTTGACATTTCAACCACTTGGAGTAATAGAGGCCCCTCAAGAGTTGAATCACTTGGTTGCAGTTCGAAGAATTAAGTTGCAAAGAATAGAACATTCGTATATGATAGATTATGAGCTAAGAACAAAGGAGAAAGCAAGTGCTTAAAGGAAAGAAAATAAAGGAGAAAGAAATTGCTTAAAATGTGCAACAAATTCCTGTAACTCCGCTTAATACTGTACAGATTTGAAAGATTTTGCGAAAGAGTATACTCTAATAGTATAGTCCTTCAATGATTACTTAAGAAAGTGCTGCACAGCCCCTTTAATAAATTAAGCTGACTTAGGCATGAATTGTGAATATATATATATATATATATATATATATATATATTTGGTTGCAGTTTGAGGAATTAAGTTGCAAAGCATAGAACATGCGTATATTATACTTCGATAGCAACCATATTTTTATATGCGTTGCCATAGCAACGGCACATAAAACGTTTTTCTGTCTTGGAAGTGGCGTCACGGCGATAGATATCCAGTGCCGTCGCCCAACCAACAAAAGCGTGCCATTGTTACGTTGTCTGGCGAACGCACCTTGCAGTGAGCCAAGCTGTGTCCTAAACCTAATCCCATCGCAAAAAAAAGTGAAAAAAAGAGAAGCGGGGTGCATAGCAGTGTTTCATAACTTGTTCCAACTCGTGCAGATCGCTTTTTAATTCACCTTCGCCGCAGTACATCAGCGCCCTGCCGAAAAGCACATTATGATTTTGAATGGGCTGTTAGTCCCAATTATGGGACACAGCACATTTTGTTCAATTACTCGTGTGTATATGGTGCATAATTGTGAGTACTAGTGGGATTGTTGACATCTGAAAAAGTTACTGCCAATTATTTTGGAGCAGTGTATGACATTTATGGCACCCCCCCCAAAAAAACACAGTCATTTTTTTTTGCTACCCCTATGAATCTCCCGAATTTCAAAGTCGCCAGCTTGGCAGATCCACATTTGAATCCACAAAGTCAGACGCAGCAAATTCTATGTGGACGTTATCATTATTTCCTTAGCGGGTGGTTCAAAAATACTACTTTATTTAAATAGCAGTTCTCTTACTCACACTGCACAATTTAGGGCGTGTTGAATACATATTTTTTTCTAAATGTAAGACTCTTCGTCATACTGCTGCAAATTTGGTATTTTAGGATAGAAAATGACTGTTTTGTTCTCCGAACCTGCTCCAAAAGTAAGATTTTACTGCTCCAAAAATTATTTTGGCTGTTGCAACCCCTGTGTTATGAAAAAAAACTATAATATCAGGTGAGATATTCTAACGACATCAGTGATAAGAATTACAAGCTGTGATTTTTTGATATCATGAAATTTGGAAGCTTTCACAGTATCGCCACAAGCCACATAAAGTCACTGTATGATAACATGTGAAACTCTGACTGCCGAAAGTCTTTTTAGCTTTAATTTTTACTGAAATTGCATGTCCAAAAATGTATTAACAGAAGCCATTGCTGCTCCCGCGTCATAGGAGATTTAAAAAGTCAGCTTTGCCGCAACGCTACGCGGTATTAGCCCCGAGAAATTGGAGTGGCGCCGCCTGGTAGATGACGTCACGGCACGGACTCTTCGATGCCAGCCGCGGCATGCCTAAGTTAATGCCGTGCACTACTCTGTGGTTTGCGTTTGCTTTGTCTCAAGCTGCAGATGATAGAAGAAAACAGAATTGGTAATGTTTCAGGTAAAACAATAAAAAGTTCACTTTTGCTTCTGCACAATCACGCTTAGTCACATAGCAATGTCAAAGGAGTCAAAACGTGTCGCACTGCTAACCCCGATGATGGATTCCATTCGTGGCCACGACAGCCGCATTTTGAGGGGTGTGAAAATTATGAACACGCTTCTGTTTTTATACAACAAATTCATTGCCGCATTATCATGTGATTTTGATAAGGAATTAGGACAGCATATCTACATTATGAGGTTGAAATGTGCATGGGTGATTCCTTTCGGGGATATGAAGGCTTCTTCTCCACTAGAATAATTTGTGCCAGAGAATTCACGGATCTACGAACAGCGCTTTCGCAGGCCTGTGCGTCGAGCCCCGCGCTCGCGTTCAGTATCGAGTCTCGCAATATATCGCAATACACTCGCCCTATAATACCACCACTGCTGTGGTGTTTTTTCGTACTTGCTCACTCAAAACTTTGTTTACTTTCAAGTTTCTCTCGCAAAACTTGAAGCTTTACTTCACCAAATTATTGAGGTTTTGTGCGGTTGAAATTAGGTGCAGAAATTCCTATTACTGTCAGATTCTGTCTTGCACAATTTTAGCGACGGTGAGGTCGTGCTGAAACTACCAATTTAGATAGCCACCTCATATGTTGAATTTTCTTGCAGTTGATTACCTATTGGTGGACATGATGTGCAAGACCAGTCATCGCCTCATCGAGGTGAAGGTTGATTAATTATTACATGGGCTCAGAAGCCTATAGGCTTAATTTTTTAGAGGGGGGGTAGGGCACCCCCTTGAAATGATCGTTTTTCTCTATGCATAGGGAAAAATTTTGGGGCTAAGGCACTGGCAGTGATGGAAGTGCTGCTCCAGTTGCTCCAAACTGCTTCAAAAGAGAAATGTTGCTTCATGCTGCTCCGAACAGTAATTTTTGTTGGTAATTGCTCCAAAGCTGCTACGAATGACAGGAGAATGAGAGTGACAAACTTTTACTCTTTGATCAACTCATAAGTCCTTAGGAAGAATTGGTGTAGCTTCATATCAGTGTGCTATTAGTGTGCAGCATTATCGGCTCTTATGCCATTTGTGCGACACAACTTTCATATTGACCATATAGGTCATTTGGCTGGTTTTTTTTTTCTCAGCTGGTAATGCAGGCCAGTGTGGTGAAATGTGAAAATGAGCCGGATTGCTTTTATCTCATACCTATTGTTTACTTCTCGTTTGGCAACACTTATATGGTACTGTGGTTACTTCTAAAATGTGGTACTTAGCTTTTCTGGTTAATTTGATTTCTGCCCTAAATACTAGTACTTTAAATTGTAGCTCATTTCACAGCACATTTTTGACAACCTGCCATTGTTTGCAGAATGAAATTTTCTTTGATTTTTGTCTGCTAAATACATTTCACAATAAATAATATTTAGGAGATGCTTCGACAATGCTCCTGAACTCCAATAAATGCATGGCGAATGTATATTCTCCTAAAACACTAGTAGCTGCTGTAAACTAGCATTTTTTCTGCTTCGAAAACTTTTATAGTTGCTCCAGAGTAGTACTTTTCCTGCTCCAAAGTATGCTCCAAAAAGTAAAAAGTCACTTCCATCACTGCACCGGTCCAGTGCACCATTCCCTTGTTACGTTACTGCATGGGCCATGTCAGTGAGTGCGTTATAGAAAAAAGTTTTGCAGCAGCGTACAAAACTGGGGAGTTGGCTAGGCTCCGTGATGCAAAAAAGCCAGTGCAAAAGATGACACACAAAAAAAGGAGGAGACAGGACAACATGTCTCCTCCTTCTTTTTTGTGTCGCATTTGCGCAGGATTTTTTACATCATGAAAAAAAACGTTCATTTAGACTTTCGGACGTTTGTGGTGAAATTGTTGCTATCGGCGGTAGAACACCCCAGCATTTCACACAAATTAGGGTGTACGACTACATAATCTCTGGCGACTGTTGAGAAGAAGCCTGTACATATGATCCCAGTAAACTGAAAATATCTCATTATTTCCAAAATCATTGTGTGTGCGGCAGTATTATTTTGTTCATTTGACAACTATGCTAAGTGAGTGCTTATGGCAGTCATATTCATGTAATGTCTCCTGCTGGAGAAAGCGCAGTTCTGTCAAATCATTTATATTATTCCCAATGCAAGCATAGCTTGTACAATAAAGCAGAATGTATTTAGTGAATTGAAAACATCCCAATTTCATTTGATACTTTGGCACAAATATGTTCTAATCCCGGATCTATGCCTAGTTGTCATCACGTTAGTACCACTCAGCATATTTTTAGCACCCATTCCCTGGTGTACGCGATAAAAAAAATGAATGTCTTTTCCTGTATCACCATTTTTGCAGTAAATCTTCCGTTTGATCGGACGGTAGTCTGCCTATCCTAAGCTAAATTATGGAAACTTCCTACAGCATCAGAAACTTTCACTAGTTGTGAAACCTTGCATTTTGCATCTTGAAAAATTTGTGTCACGAAATTGAGGAGTAATTGCAACGTGTCTCTTAAGAGCATGTACATGGCGGGCACGGAAAAGGTGACAAGCGCCAGCAGAGAAGTGAGTCCTTGCCGTGACGTCACATCGCAGCGACGCCACTGTTCGTTCTCGGGGCTAATAGCTTATCATGAACAAGGCATTGGGGAGCGTTGGGGTTGTAGACGGGAGTTCAGCTGCTTGAATTTCTGGTTTTCTTCTTTATTTTCAAGAACTTCACATTCTGTAACCATTTAGCAAAGACATCCGACAGCCAGAATTCATTGTTATAACCGATAACAGGATGTGGGCATTGCTGTAAGCGGGTTATCTTACTATGAAAAACATACAAAAGCTGACGGTGCAGCCGCTTTTCATTGTTATGACCAATACGTTGTTAAAACTTGTATAGTTATAAGTGGGTTTGACTGTGATTGTAATCAAGCTTGCCTTTACATAGGGCCTGTAATGACAATGATAGAGGTAAGGAAGGTGCTTTTTTTTAATGAGAGCATGGCATCTTATTTTACGAAATACACCAATAGATTTCTCAAGCTGTCTTGGTTACGTGAAAGGGTGTGGTATCACCACATGTTGGCCATATGTTAATACTGTGGTGACCACAAGCCACATAGAGTCAATGGTGCATTATGACATCCTCAATGACTATTACATATTGTCACGGGGTCGTGACGTGGCCG